GCGTCGCAGCCTGCAGGGGTGAATGTCTCTACTAGCAGTACGTCTCAAGCTGCTCAAAGGTCGCAGTCTCAAGGTTGGGCGGAGATGTGTTTTCGTGCTTGCCCGATGTGTGAAGAGGAGCATTCTCTGGACAAATGTCCAAAATTCAAGGCTTTATCCCCTACAGAGAGGAGATCGTTTGTAGTCCTCAAGCGTCGCTGCTTTAATTGCTTGGGGAGGCATAATAGAGAGAATTGCCGTAGCCTCAAGAAGACTTGTGTCGTGTGTCGACAGAATCATCACTCGATGATTCATATCAATCGCCCTCAGTCGGCACAGCAAGGGGTTCCTCAGCCTCATCAAACTCTGCAGGCTCCTCACACATCGCAGGCTCTTCAGTCCAACCAACCGATACAGTCCACTGTCTCGAGGCCTGACATGGCTCAACCATGATGTACTCTACCAACGATTGCGCCAGAGTCGTCGTCGATAAGTGACCATTCTCTACGGCCGACTCTGGCGAGTAATTCTCCGTTTGTAGCACCGAACAATCGTGATGTCTCTCTGCAGCTCAGACCAGGTGTTATTCTCGCCACAGCGCTAGCCTCGCTCGTCTTGGACGATGGCTCTTTTCACGAGGTTAGGATGCTGTTGGATACTGGTTCAGAGCTGACGTTTGCTACAAATGACCTTGTGGGGAAGCTCGGCTTATCGGTATCTCCAGCTTTGCTACCGGTCGTTGGTATTAGTGGATCAAAGTCTTCATCTAATGGTTTTTCTCGATTTTCTCTCAAGTCTCTGTATTCAAGTAATCAGATTCTCATCAAGGCCTATGTACTCGATCATCTCACATCTTCATTGCCTTCGTTCACGGTCTCTCAAACTCAACATTGGGAGCATCTCAGAGGATTGGAGTTAGCTGATCCTGATTATCTGACGTCAAGACCTGTTGATCTTCTCATTGGCGCAGATTTCTTTGGATCGATTGTGGAGCCGCAGGTTATCAAGGGGCCGTCAGACTCCCCTATAGCGATGCTTACTCTCTTCGGGTGGGTGGTTCTCGGACCTACATCCGCAGTGATCCCCGCGGCAAGCTCAAATCACGTCTCTGTCAGCAATGAGGAACTTGGCGATCTTCTCACCTCGTTCTGGCAGCAGGAGGAAGTCTCTAAAACTGAAGGCAATGATGGTGTTCTCACGAAGGAAGAGGCAGATTGTGAGGAGTTCTTTCAGCGCACCCATGTTCGAGATCGCTCGGGGCGTTATGTTGTTCGACTGCCTCTTGCTCGTTCTCCGTCAGAGCTCGGTGATTCTCTAGGCCGCGCCAAGGCGTGTCTCTCGAGCCTGCTCAGGAGGTTGGGAAAGAATCAGAATTCTCTACAGCTTTACAGTGATTTTCTCAAGGAGTATGAAGAGTTGGGGCACATGGTGCGTGCTCC